TTTTTTGTTTCTTTAAAATTCCGTCTACACACTTGACGGTCGTCGAACGTTTATGGATCGAACGAACGAACGAATGAATCGCCAACGTGTTTCGAAAGGCTACGATCTTATTAAATCGTAACGTGCCCCTTTGTCGCGGTTCGCTGGAAAATTTTACGAGCGCTTCGAATCGAATGGTTTCATCGATACACCGCTGCCGGTGTAACGAGACATTCCACTTTCGCGGCGTAAAAATGTGCGAACGTGGAAGAAAAGACGTGGTAGAAGATGAAACGGACGAGCCGCGGAAGTGTTTTCAAAATGCCAATATTCCGCGATTCGTATCCTTTTGCGATGCGTTTGGAACAGGTTTCGAAATTCTCTCGTCACTTGCAATTGAATCGTTGCATTGATTTATTTGAGCTTGTTCAAAATCAATTCGAAAGGAACTTTGAAATTTGTATTGCAATGCCAGTCAATCTGAGTGGGCAGAATTGAAGGAACGCGTACTACTTCTGCGTACTCGTTCAAATAGCTGCGAGAATGGATGACACAAAGTACCGAAGATGAAACTAAAATCCATTCAACCATTGCAATTCTATCAGCTGCTATTGTATTGCTAGCAAGACTGTGCAATATTGCGTACCGAGACAGTTTCGAATGTTTTCCAATTTAGATTGCCGCTCATTACAGAAGTTGTAAATCAGTCGTCCACTGAATATTAACACGGAACAACAAATCAAACGGAATGAAGACTTCTTGCTGTCGCTGTTGGTAAAGCATTTATTGTCCAATCTACGGGACCCGTTATGTCGTAAAAGCTTACGGATAATCTCTCGTGGCTCTTGTCTCAGATAAAAGCTCGCTGATCTCTTACAGCATGCAGACAGATGATCGAATGATTTAATCAGGTCTATCTCGTCGTAAAACGTAGTCAAACGTCCCTTACGGATCTTTTAATGTCACGCCTTAATATGAATTCCTTCAGTCACGTTGGTCTAAATACTATCTAATTTTGATAATTTCATCTTTTGTGTTTCCTTCTGTTTCATTATGAAAATTTCTGTCCAAATCCACTTCAAATTTATTTCAACGTGAATTACTTACTACGTGTTTAAACGCATTATTTTATTTTTGTAAATATGTGTACATAGTCACTCGTCAATAACTCGTGCCATTCTTTCGCGTCGAAAATTTCTATGCGTCGAAATTTATAATTACTTTATCGTGAGTTATTCAATACCACGCTGAGTGGAAACTCTGTTAAATACAGTCCGACTTTGATAACACGAAATCTTTGTGTATAAAATTTTGGCCATTTCTCTTCTCTGTAAATGCGACTGTAATATAAATTACTTCATTGAATGTAAATTATCTTACTTCAAAATGCGACGTTTTAGAATTATTTTGGAATTGAACGATAACGTTCAATAATAAAATTGAGTAATACTTTCAAGAAATATTCAAACAAATAGTTCCATTTGTACATGTATTTTTTAGCGTAATATCATCGGTGTATTATTTCATAATTCTAACGAGTCCGTGAA